ACACCCACACCCACACCCACACCCACACCCACACCCACACCCACACCCACACCCCCACCCCCACCCACACCCACACCCACACCCACACCCACACCCACACCCACACCCACACCCACACCCACACCCACACCCACACCCACACCCACACCCACACCCACACCCACACCCACACCCACACCCACACCCACACGCACACGCACACGCACACGCACACGCACACGCACACGCACACGCACACGCACACGCACACGCACACGCACCCGCACACGCACCCACACACGCACCCACACACGCACCCACACACGCACCCACACACGCACCCACACACGCACCCACACACGCACCCACACACGCACCCACACACGCACCCACACACGCACCCACACACGCACCCACACACGCACCCACACGCCCGCACACGGGCACACGCCCGCACACGGGCACACGCCCGCACACGGGCACACGCGCACACGCGCACACACGCACACACGCTTACACTTACGCTTACACTTACACTGACACTTACACTGACACTTACACTGACACTTACACTGACACTTACACTTACTTGGGTTTTTGGAGTCTGCGCCAAGCATAGCCAAGGTGTCTTGACTTTGCGCCCTCGTGCATGCTGGGACTGTAGTATGAAGAATTGCCAAAAGTATCAGATCGTACGTTGTCACGGGCTTATAGGGTTAAACATGGTTAAATTAACCAACCACCCAACAGCAAACGACAAACCGACCTCGGCGGAAGCCCCAGGTATCGGGGCCCCCGACCCGACCCCCTTCCGCGGACCCCCGATGTGTTTGCATGGGGTTTTGGGAATCTTGACTAGATACATGGAAAGCAAGCACAACATGCTTTCAATGTTAAGCTCCGCTCCAACGCCTGACGAGCGCGTTTTTGGCAAGGTTCAAGGTTGCCCGGACAACTTGAAGCACATAGCCCGGACACAAGGACGACGGCCCGGACGCGCAGGACAAGGTAGGCCAAAACAGCCAGGAGAAACGCGAGACATCTGCCGCCGTCAACCCCCAAAACTAAATTCACAGAGCTAACTTCTCTTTAGCAAACATCTCTAGGCACGTCTCGGCCCAAGAGGTCCCGGATGCGCACTAATCATGCACACCCTTCGAACATCAAGGCCAAACATGACAATGTCATGACATGGCTGCAGGAGGACCTGTAGATTGGGCTTGTCCGCATTGGCTCTCTTGTTCTCCTGGGTCCGGGCAAGATCTGTTTTAGGGTGTTTCACCATTCGACTGCTCCTTCGTATCGTAAAATCCGAAGCCCCCCATTGCCCGTGTGAGCGGAGCCTCACAGGAGGCATGGACGAAGTCCACTGCCACCACTCGCTGGGCCTTCCTGCGCAAGTTGGCTTTAGAACTCGGGGCGCAAGAGCGGGAACATGCAGGATGCCTGTGAACAGATGAGTGCGTGTTGAGTGCATGCGTGCTCCGGGCCTAGCAAGGATGCCGCTGAAGCGGCCGATCCCAGCCCCTAGCCTCAGACACAGCCTACTCCCAGTCTCCTACAGTACATGACCTGTTCGACGGGAGTTACTTTTTGGCGTCTTTAGCTTATTTCAGGAGACCTCTGTGGCAGGAAGGTTCCACACCCAGCTTGGCTTGTCCGGACAGAATACGCTTCTCTGAGCTGAGATGCTCCAAAACGCTCTTTCCGTGCAGACTCGGCATGTGGGAAAGGATCCTGAGTTCCAGGGACGGGCTGTCGCGAGCAAGCGGGTTCGAAAAAAACAACATGTGTTGAAGGCAGTACATGTTGGTGCCCATCGTGGCGGAGGAATAAGGCCAAACTACTGAGCTAAGCCTGGGCCCAAAGAGACAAAAGGCAGAAACTGTCTAAGTCCGTTGGGGTCCCATGTCTGACATCGAGGTTCACTGGACATTCTGATCTCCTGGCGCTTCGGGTCTACTGCATCTCCTGCGTACCGTGTTGCTAAGTCGAGCTGCTCGGGCCTCTCCAGCTTGTCTATGACTGCCGCGTCAGAATCGAGCATCATGTTCCTCAAAATGCGTGTCGCGCTATGTCTGGTCTGTTTCTGGGCAGAACGGCTGTGAAGCCCAAGCCACACCCGAAGGCCTGTCATGAACACCATAGCCCGCTGCCCCGACATGCTAATCATGCTACTGAGCTCCAGGATTCTCCAAAGTGGCCGCGGAATGGTCGCTGGCCCAGTATTCAGTGAAGTCTGCGCGCTGCTTGTCCAGCTTCTTCCTCGAATTTGAGCACAGTTGCAAAGCCATGAACTGTTAACCTCCATAGTTTTGCGGTCCCTACAACATCCTACAACCCTTTGAGTGGTTTGACCTTGAGGTAGGCCATTCCAGAGGCCCTACACCCAAGCTCGAAAACGGGCGATTCTCCCCGAATGCTGGGCAAGCCACAAGCCCGCAAGGTCTCTTTGCGTCTTCAGATCCCGGAAGCAGCTGCGCCATTCCATGCTCTTGTAGAGGTGTGTCCTCGATTCTGAAGAGCGGATACGGACGGCTTGGCTTGTTTGGCATAGGCACGAGATGGCACAAGTACATAAATCTTTCCAGTCCCAGGGTCAGCTCCTCTCCTTTGTCAATATCCCGGAGGGCAAAAATCTCAAAACGATCCTTTGATACAGGCTTGGTGTGCTTGGTGTGCTTAGCGTGCTTTGGCGGGTTTGCAAGGAGGGCTTCGATCTGAGACGGAGGGCTTTTGCCTACAAGTCCTGAGGCTTCGTTGGCCCCCTGCCTGGTCCAGATGCCGAACCACCTCCGTGTTTTCAGACCTCGGCAGTGCGGCTCGAGCCCAATATTGTGCCTTCGTGCACTGTGCGCATCTCATGAGGTCCCGCCTTCTGCCAGCTTTGATCAGTTCTGCCTCTCTCTCTTTCTCCACTCTCGTCTGCCTCTCCCGAGTTTCTGCCCTCCACGTTTGATACGTTTGCAACCTTTTGCAACCGGGGCCCCCAGCCCGTCCAAAGAGGCGTTGTAAAACACAGAGCAGCCACTGCCGCTGGCCCACACGGATCTGTCCTCTCTCCGCGGAAAACAAAAGCGAGAAATGCAGAGAGCTTTTGAGGACAGGAGCGTGTTCTTCCCGACTCGCCTCTCTCTCCAAATCGCACTCAGCCACTCTCCTCGCTCCAGGTAAAGACGTAGGGGTTCGTGTTTCCGTCCACGGGCAGGCGACGCACGATGCCCCGCTCGACGAGCTCCCCGCGCCTAAGAGGCACCTCGGCCGGGGGAATGGGGGAATTCACTTTCTCGTATTCGCCAAGAACTGTCTAAGAAAACGTAAGGCCCTGGGAATGCACTGTTCTCTGGATAGACTTCGTGGTGGGCAGACAATGGCTCATGAAAATATCCTAGGAACAAGGGTCTTTCGCACCACACTTGATGATTCATAGACTTGGAAACGAAGGTGGCATGAATGATTTCAGTGGACAAAGAGAAGCAAATGAAGTCATGAATCCTTGGTTGCCAAGAGAGAAAAGTCTGTTCGCAAGCTCGCATTAACAATGAGAATTTGTATTGCTTTTGTTAATTCACGTCTACCTCTACAACAAGAGGAATGAAGGGGCGCACCAACGTGAAGATATGTTTAGTTGATTGCGCCAATATTCTTTGTGCAAGCCACAATGAGGGGCAAGGAGGGAGGGAAGGAAGGAAGGAAGGAAGGAAGGGGAGACGTCTGGGACGGCAACTCTGAGAAAGAGCGACTCACTCACTCGCTCACTCACTCACAACCTCTCTCTCTCTGTTCTTCTCCCTTCGGGTTGCTTTGTGGGATGCAAGGCGCGGCTGCAAAAACCCCAGCTCCTCCATGCCCATCAGGACGAACCTCACAAGATCTCAGTGTCAGAGTACTGCCAAAGTACCGCGCAGGCCCGATCCAGAAATGGTGGAGTTCCACAGAGACAATGACATGTTTTCTGTGGCATTGCTCCCTGCATCGTCACCGTCGTGACCTGAATTCGAATCCAATCCCGGAACTCCCTCCGATCGCCGCCTCGACCTTTGAGCAGTCGACTAAGCTCTCCCCGCTTGCCACCGTGACCTCCATGTCTCGACCACCGATTTAGACTGTACTAGAGACTGTACTAGAGTGAGGAGTACTGACACGATAAGCCAACGCTCACAATCCCAGTAGTCATCGTCATGGAGCAAGAGCAAACCAAATTGCTCAACTCACGCGTCGTGGCAAGCTGAAAAGAACAAGAAATTGGTAAGTGGATGTTTGGCAGTTGAACAGACCAGCCTGGCCCTGTGGCACTATGGGTTGACAGGTAAGAAAGGGATTGGTACTGCAGGGTCCAGCACGAACATATCCCAGCAATTGCGGCATCGTAAATTTTCTTGGCGCCAGCCATTGCTGCACACATGGCCACCAAAGCGGCCACCCAGAGCGCGAGTCGGGGTTAGATTTGCTCCGTCTGCTCCGGATGATGTATTCAATGTATTCTGTCGGGTTCATAGGGAGGTTTCCGGGTCTCAGCCACGTCGAGCATGTTTGTGTAGAGAATGATTCACAACCGACAGCGATCACATGGTTGATCTGCGGCCAGTTGTTCCGCACACATCACTCCTGGCCGACTGAAGAATGTCACTGCTGCTCACAGTGTACGTTTACGATCTCCGCGTTACATGGGGATTGACCTTCAGGACGGCTCGACACGGTCTGACTCAGCAGTGCTTCGAGAATTGCACAGAGCTGCCAAGCCTTTTCCAACAACTCCCTTGTATCACCTGCCTACACCCTGGAAGAAAATAGCTGCTCAGAAAATGCCAAAAACGCCTCTCCGAGTTTTTGTTGTGCGGCTGTGAGTGGCGACGGAGCCAGACGGGCATACTGACATACTGGCCGCGTTTCTGCCCACGCCGTTGTTCATCATGTCTCGTTATGCGAAAGCACGCCGATGTTGAAGGCATTAGCCTCTGGTATTAGCAGATTGGCACCTGCTCTCTTGGACTAGCAAAGCCATTTTCCAAGCCCTTTCTAGGCCCTGCAGATGTTGAAGAGCTAAAGTGCCTCTGTCTCGGGGCTGCCCTCTGATGAGTTCGACAGCCGTAGGTCCTGGAAGCCTGGAAGAATCTGCAAGAGGCAGTTGCTGTCTTCACTGCAACGTGAGGCGCCGTGGGAAGTGAGGGCTAACCACACAATGCATCGCAACTTCTTGACGGTACCCCGCTTAGAAAAAGAGCCCCCAAGGATTCCCGAGGCCGAGCTGCAAGCCCTCCACTCCATGCTCCTTAAGGTCAACTGGAAATCATACGTCAGAATCGAATCATCGATTCGATAGCTAATGTGAGTTACAATGACAGACACTTCTCAAAGAGCTTGCGAGTCTCTTGTAGAGGTGTGTTAGCTCTTCGTGCTGATGCAGGTCGCGAAGGGCATAGATTTCGAAACGGTCCTGACAGTAAGGCTCTTGGCATGTGCAGGCTCTCTCTAAGAATCGGAATGGCCATTGTTGCTCAATGTTGCTCAACTTGTGCAAGCAGGACGACATAGAAAGATGAGGCGACAGCGAGGCGGTCCCCAGGGATATTTGTACAACTCGCGCTCCTCATCAAAGAAGCGCTGCATCTCCGTCGTCTCTGTGCCGCACAGCGATGCCTTGTGAAGCACTCGTGAAGAACAGAGGGAAAGAGCAGGGGAAAGACTTATTGAGAAGAGGTTTGGTCAATCAGGTTCTCAAGTTCATGAGATCGCAGGTGCAAACACCCTGGTGGTGCCATGATGCGTTGTAGAACACGGAGCATCCACTGCCGCTGGCCCAAACGGTCTTGTCCTGGCAAAGGCATTTGATTGAGCACCTGCCCCCTTCTCCCCCCTCCTCCCCCTTGCTAAAAAAGACAACGCCCCTTTCTTTTTGCATCCAGGCCCAGCCTCCAACAGCCCGACTCTCCCTCTCTCCAAAATCTCCAAAATCTCCAGAATCTGAAGATCAGAGATGTGCTCAGGAAAAAAAGTGGAGACTCGTGTGGAGACTCGTACAGATGGTCTCAGAGGTGTTCTCCGCTCCTCGCTCCAGGTAAAAACGTAGGGGCAGTGGTTCCTCAGTGTGAGCGTTTCTGTACCGAACTTTGCAGTGTAGATGTACATGTAATCATTCACAGCCTTCGGGCTTCGCTTTGAGAGCCTACAGAGTTTACTTCGAGCAGGGGTTGCTCTGTCAACCCGAGGGCCTGACCATCCAGAGTTCAGTCTGTAGCCCTCGAGAAATCTGGAACCACCGCAGAGTAGAAACTGCTCACCAGCCGGTCACTTTCGGGCCCAAGGGCTTCGACACATCTTCAATTTTCAGCTGAAGCCTTCTTCGGAAACGATCACACGTGCCCCGCCAGGCGGCCCGTCCACAGGCAGGCGCCGCACGATGCCCCGCTCGACGAGTTCGCCCTGCAAGGCATTGCTGCGTTACAGTCACTGTCATGCATCAGAAGTACGAGGGCTCCAGTGCAGCCCCCCAGGACCTTCGGCAGCCCCTCCTATGACGGGAGAAATTACAACTGGCTATTGCAGTGCCGATGCCACTTTGAACATACGCTATGGTACTACCATAAGGTTTCGGCTAACTTTTTGGCCGGCTGGCGTTGAGATATTGATGTTGATGTTCATGTGATGTTGGTGTTGATGATGATGAGGATGATGATAGATGATGGATGTCGTCGTCGTAGTCGTCGTCGTCGTCGTCGTCACTGTTACTCTTGCTCTTGTCGTTCTTAGTGTTGCCGTTCTGTTGCTTACGTTGTTGCTGGCCCTCTTCATTTGGCTCCCTTCCACCTCGACGCTCCCTCCCCCTGCTTTGGGAGATCAGACGGCTGGACCAAGCGAAGCGAAGCAGAGTAACCCAACTTGAACCTGTGAACTTAAACACCCGATGCTGCCAATCCAGGGCTTACCGGTAGTAGATTCTGCAGCTTTCGCAACCAAGCCTGCCAACCAAAGTCCCGTGCATGGCGTTTGCGTGTTTTTCAGGTCAAGCCCCTGCAGCTCTATCGAGATCGCACAGGGTGGCGCAAGGGGTGGGGCCTTTCTAATGGGCACCGCTGCGTAGCTGCCAGCCCCACCAAAGCGATCCGCCTTCACGTACACCTCCGAGAGGCTTCCGAAGTTTCGAGGCATTCGGTAGCTACCGGAGCTGGAAACAGTGAGGTTGACTTGGGGCACTGACCGACATGACCGAAGATCCAGGGGATGAGAAACTCCATCAGAAACTCCCAGCCCCCGCGGTGCAAAGGTGCACCAGTGCACCTTGGAGCAGTCGACCAGGTAGCATCGCCTGCTCCTCAGCCGTTGGAAATCTCCGGCTCACAAACAAACATTCCCCTAGAGAATTCAACCGAAAAAACCTCCCTAGCCCCACTAAAGCTCCAAGGCGCCAGACGGAACCTCCAAAAAGGGCTCAAAGTGCAAAACGGAACCAGAGCTTCAGTGTATTCTACGTTGCAATTCGTAAGTTCTAGCCTCCCCCTGCTTCAGAGGCCAGAGTGGGCCTACGAAGGGACAGAGGAAGGGTTCTCAAAGGCCCCCCCCCCCCCCCCGCGGTGTGCTTTGTCGTGTGTGTGTGTGTGTGTGTGTGTGTGTGTGTGTGTGTGTGTGTGTGTGTGTGTGTGTGTGTGTGTGTGTGTGTGTGTGTGTGTGTGTGTGTGTGTGTGTGTGTGTGTGTGTGTGTGTGTGTGGGTGGGTGGGTGGTGTGTGTGTGTGTGTGTGTGTGTGTGGTGTGTGTGTGTGTGTGTGTGTGTGTGTGTGTGTGTGTGTGTGTGTGTGTGTGTGTGTGTGTGTGTGTGTGTGTGTGTGTGTGTGTGTGTGTGTGTGTGTGTGTGTGTGGTGTGGTGTGTGTGGGGTGCGTGCGTGCGTGCGTGCGTGCGTGCGTGTGCGTGTGCGTGCGTGCGTGCGTGCGTGCGTGCGTGCGTGCGTGCGTGCGTGCGTGCGTGCGTGCGTGCGTGCGTGCGTGCGTGCGTGCGTGCGTGCGTGCGTGCGTGCGTGCGTGCGTGCGTGCGTGCGTGCGTGCGTGCGTGCGTGCGTGCGTGCGTGCGTGCGTGCGTGCGTGCGTGCGTGCGTGCGTGCGTGCGTGCGTGCGTGCGTGCGTGCGTGCGTGCGTGCGTGCGTGCGTGCGTGCGTGCGGGCGTGCGTGCGTGCGTGCGTGCGTGCGTGCGTGCGTGCGTGCGTGCGTGCGTGCGTGCGTGGGTGCGTGTGTGTGTGTGTGTGTGTGTGTGTGTGTGTGTGTGTGTGTGTGTGTGTGTGTGTGTGTGTGTGTGTGTGTGTGTGTGTGTGTGTTTTTGACTTCAACTCGCTGCAGGCAGTGATCGGCCAGTGGCCCCTTCTGAGGAAGCTGGTCGCTGCATGCCGCGCTGCACGCTGCGAGAACGGCATACTTCCTCGATCTTACAAGTGCTGCAAGTAGTACCACTGTACAACCTTGTTACATGACTACCGATGCCTATGTCTCACCTCCGTGACGCAACAGGAATGTCATGTCTCATGTCATGGCCGGATCCTGCAAGCCAAGCTGATAGAAGGGGTTGGAATTCGGGTCGACGACCCCTGGATACCCCAAACCCAAAGTCCTAGCAGGTCCCAATCTGCAAATCGTGCAAATTCCGACGTGATCCCTTTCAGTTCCAAACTGCAGGGCTCATGGTAGGCCACTTCGAGGACTTATGGGGACGGTTTCGGCACTTGACAGCCATGACAAGAGGCTTGCTCAATGCGCGGCCTTTTCCTTCGTCGCTTAGCCGGCGAAGGATGAAGGGCTCTCATGGATGAGTTATGGATGATTCTTATGAAATTGAAACGAGCCGCACGCCCAGGCGCGGCTCTGAAACGATGGTAGCCATGACTTCATGGACGGCAGAGATCAGCAGGTCTCGTGCTCCCAGATGCGCCCCCCCCCCCCCCCCCCCCCCAAGATGGGCTAGCCAAACCTAGCCATGCTCATGCCACCCCGCATATCATTCCGAAACAGCTGGTAAGAGTCCTAATGTCATAGTGAGAAAGCCCTGGTTAGCCTTTTGGGGCTACTTGGCTGCTTAGGTCTCTGCCTCCTGGCTCAGCTTCCTCACGAACTCCGAGTGCTGGGCCAGCTCCGCCTTGTAAAGGTCGGAGATCCTCCGGGGGCTTCTGCAAGAGTCAACGTCCGCTCTCGGCTCTAATTTGAAGTGGCAAAAAGTATCAAACCAGGGTGAGGGTTTAGGATTTAGGGTTTAGGGTTTGGGGTTTAGGGTCTAGGGTCTAGGGTCTACGGCCTAAGGTCTAAGGTCTAAGGTTCAAGGTTCAAGGTCTAAGGTCTACGGTCTAAGGTCTAAGGCTTAAGGCTTAAGGCTTAAGGTTCAAGGCTTAAGGTTTAGGGGGGGGACTATTTTGGCACTCTGCAACCAGTTCAGGTCTCAATTGCTGAGTCAAGCTGCTGGCGCTGTGGTTTGAAGGGGACGAATTTCCAGTAGACCCACTCCAAGGCCTCGGTTCAACATGGTGCAAAGCCCAAGCAGCTCTCCCAAGCTCCGAAGCTCGCAGAGATGTATTGCTCTACTGGTGCACGGATGCTTGAAGGGCGCTCTCTTGAAGTCGAAGCCTGTGCAGCCAGTAACTGCCAGTAGCGGCCAGTAAGTTTGTAAGTTTCAACTCCCCAACACACTCGTTATGTGGAAGCCTGTGCCTCGAAGCACAAGAGAATTCAAGAGAAGTCTAAGTCTAAGACAAGTCCTGCTTGAGCACGTCTGGTCTGTTTCGAAATCTAGAACAGCGGCGAAGTGGATGTCAAGCCGACTACGACACTCCGGGTCACATGTGAAGTGCTTTGCAGCTTCGCATTGTACAAATTTAGATGATGAGCCTGCGGTACAGCTCAGCCTCGCTTGTGGAGTCTCCTGATTTGCAAGGGCCGTGTAGTGAAGCCCACGAGCAGCGTGACTGTTGGAAACTCTGGCTTCAACAGAACGGCGTGGGCGGCTAATGTTGCATGAGGGTCACTTCAACAACCAAACGTCACCATTGCTCCAGCATATGGACATCTGCGCATCCCGGAGGACACTGCCCATAAGAACGTGGCCACGAAGATCCTGCATGATTGTATCTTGTGCTACCATCTCGAGGCAGGTTTCCTTTTCCGGCATCTTCCACTGAGGGTGCCAGATCATGCTATCCCTGAAGATCTCGCCGACACACTCATTGTCCTCCTGTCGGTACCACCATCCCTGGAAGCTGTTCCAGAAAGCATCAAGTTGCCTGTGCTTGGGGCAGCCAGCTGGCTCTGGAAGCACACTGATAATGCCGTCAAGGTTGGGGTCCCGAATTATGGCTTCATCCCACGCCCGATCCTCACTTCGCTCGGCAGCCTTGTGACAGGCACGTGGGCAGCCATGACAGGTGCCCCCAAAACTAAAACGAAACCAGCTTCTGAGAGCCATATGGAGGCTGCTGACGCGCAGTTTTGATACTCCTGGGCCAAGTGGGGCCGTTTTTTACGGAGAAGAAAGCAGCACGTGTCCGAAGCCAAGGATGGCACATGGGCTTAAACCCCTTCAGGTGCTCGTTGTTTTTATCCCATTTCAATTTCAAGACCCTGGCAGCTCGGTCATCCTGTCCCCCTTGAAACCACCCTCAAGCTCAGCGGCTGCGAGGAAGAAGGTGAGGCCACCCCAGTTGATGCCGCGGATAACCCCCTGAGAAGGCTCTGCATTTAAAGGATCAGTGCCAGTGACTCGGTGACTTAATGACTTGGTGATTTGGTGACTTTGTGACTTAGTGACTTATACTGCCTCAGTGACGTAGAGACGTTGCGCCTCTGTTCGGACAATCTGCTGGTCCCAGTGTCAAAGTCCCCAGTAAGCCGTTTCTTATATTTTGAAGGGCTCTCGGAGGCCTTTCGATGCCGACATTACTTTGCGGTCCATGGCGAAGATCTGGCTATGACCAGTTGGAAGACCGCCCAGCTCCCGGCAACGGCCAACCCGAACCCTCTGGCCTTGCGAAGGCCTGCGAAGCCGGCTCCGCGGAACGGGTGTCCTGCAACAGCCCTACTTGACGCCTCGAGGGCTATGGCTCAGGTGGTCGTCTGAGGACAAGGAAGCTCTTGACCGAGACTCAGCAAGGCTCCACCCACAGCGCAGGACAAGGACATGCAAAGACACGCTGTGATGCACTACTGACTTCCGATACTGTGTTGCATGACCGCCGCATGCATGCTCGGCGTTCTCGCTGCAAGACCGACGGCTTCAAAAAACGGCCTCGGTGTGCGACACATTCTGTGGCCGGGTCAACTTGTCGACTTGCGCAGATGAGACAAGCCAGCTGAAGCTATTTCAGGCTTTGCCGCGCCTAATTCCTGGTCCAAGACAATACAACATCGTGCTTCTGGGGCTCGGGCACGCCCGCCTGGGTCATAGTTTTGACCTGGTGCGTGTAGCAGCATAGCATGCGCCCATGTGAGGCCATATATGCCCATCCCAGAACAAGTCTTGAGGATGGTGTGGTCGGGCTAGGGTTTCAACTCAACACGTTGAGGCTTTGCTGGCTTTCAAAGGTTCAATTGGATGCTTTGGTCCCAGAACCTGAAGGGCATTTGGGGAGAGTTGTGAGCTGATGTGAGCCGACAGGAAGGCCGAAAGTCACTCACACAACAGGATCTGTCTTAAAGTTGAGGGCTTGCGGTGTTTCTGGGATTTTTTAGACTTGCGGGGTTAAGGGTTTATGGTTTTGGGTTTCGGATCGAGCCGCCCCTGTTGCGAGCATAGCCCCAGCGAGTGATAGGCAAGTGCCTCTTTTGGAAAGATATTTTTCTTCTGGCGGCCCATCATTCGAGGCCGAGATACCGTGAACGACCAGAACTACCAGTACAGTACTTGAGGATGAAGGTTGAGTCGGTTACAAGTGTCGGGAGTGGGCCGAGGGTGTGTTGGGAACAGGGGGGGCGCGTGTTCGGAACTGGACAGGCGTGAGTCAGGAACGCAGGGCCCATGTGTACAGCACACCCGGGGGTTGAGTTGGGAAAGGCTGCCCCCCAGAATTGGGTTTCGGAGTGATGACCCTACTCTGCAGGTTTGCTTTAAGTCCTCTTTCGACGACTTGGAGTTGCGTCTACAGTCTTCTTTTCAGCTTCCAAAGGGGAGACTTTACGAGGCGAACACATCCGACGTGTCACGAACCCCCTACTCTGCAGGTTTGTTTTAAGGCCTCTTTCGACGACTTGGAGTTGGGTCTACCGTCTTCTTTTCAGCTTCCAAAGGGGAGACTTTACGAGGGGAACACATCCGACGTAACCCGCACACCAAGGGTCATCACTCCGAAACCCAATTCTGGGGGGCAGCCGTTCCCAACTCAACCGGGGCGTGCTGTACACATGAGCCCTGTTCCCGACTCACCCCCCCTGCGTTCCCGACTCACGCCTGCCCTGTTCCCAACACGCACCCCCCCTGTTCTCAACACGCGTGTGCCCAACACACCCCAGTTGCAACCAACACGCCTAACATTCCAGTACTTGATCTCATGGGCAGAGGACAACAGGAAGCCAAGAGAATGGCAGGAGGGCTGTCGAGGGAGCCTCCCGTGCAGCCTACGAGGCACAAAGATGTGGACCTCTCTGCGAAGCGGTATCGCCAGCAAGGGCAGATCCGCACATGCCATCTCTCTCTGGCATGGGAACGCCAAGGGCCTCATGGGCGGTGACCAAAGTGTGCCAATCAAGCTGCTCCACCGTACTCGCAAGCAGCCTCGATATCAATGGGCGGCGCACAATTGTTGGAGGAGCTGCGTCTTTGTTGTTAAGTGGTGCTCACAATCCTTGTGTCAAGACATTAATGCACGTCCCCTTTCTGGTTTGGGATGGTAACTTTCTATCAGACCTGCACTAGGACTTGGTCCAATGGGCGACGACATGGAGTAGACTTTGCTATCCTACAAATTGTTTTTGCTCGGCTATGTGACGTTGGTGCCCTTTTGGCCTTAACATGTACATGTTCCTTGGATACGGCCGTGGACAGGTTACATTGTGCAGATATGACCTGCTGTGGATAATTGTGTGAGAAAAACAGCAGAGTTCCGAGCATTGTTTTGCCCCTTGCGCCGTTGAGCTGGGCAGCTTGATCCGGGACACGGGCTTGCACAAGCTACTGCAGTGTTGGGACATGTGCTGCTGAAGCATGCCGGACCATAATGACATTGCCGATCAAGCTGGAGCGGATGAGGAACCGGAGTGCTGGACACTTTTGTCGTGGAACAGCTACAACAGCTACATTGCCTGTGCAATTGGAAGCTCTTGTGTGCGGCCCTGAGGGATTGGCTTCAAGGACTTGGCTCCCCTGTGCTGGCGTGGACAATAGCATGGCTGGTCAAAGTTTCAGGCGATGAAGGCTCCCGTGGAGATGGCCATGCCGCGCAGCAAGGGCAAGGCGAACAAAGGGTCTCCTGCACCTCGCTGGCAAGTGCACAATAGCCATGGCGCAGTGGGATGCTGCTACTGTGGTTGCCAGGACACCGGGCGCCACTCGGTCTGATGTGATATTCACATTCATATTTCATAGATTCTTCTCTCCTTGCCCTATGCCGGACAGTGGCATGCGCACGCCATGCACGAGACGACACACTTTCTCATCGCAGTCTGGAATGACGATGCAGCGAAGCCTGCGCCATGGACCATTGTCCTGTCCTGCGTACCCGCGAGCGGGACAACATGTGGCAGGGATGCTGAACACGCACTTCTCGGGCAACAGGGATATGAGCACTCGCGGAGCTAGCCAACTGTGATCAAATCTGTCCAACGCGCACAATGCTTTCAGAGGACCGCAGATGATACCCCCTTTTGACGTGTCCTGGACATGCCATGTACAGATGTGCTGTTGTTGCGAGATGGCAGACAGGGTCGCCACGTCTGCTTACAGGCACCCAGCAGTTTCCGAGCTGCGTTGCGGCCCCCGTCGAAACGGCTACAGAAGCTGGCTGCTCTACCCTGCAAGCTAATTGGGGCTGCGAGGTTTAGGGAGTTAGGGTAGAGCTGAAGCAAAGAAAACCAAAAGATGCAGGGCCTGGTCTGGCGGGTTGGTCATCACCTCTGCGAAGCTCCCAGTGAGACTTCCGGCCACGAAGCTCAGGGACACCTGCTCAGGGGTTGTTGCTCTCTTGATTCCTTGTTGTTCCTGCCACGACAACGAAGTAAGGGAAAACGTTGTTTAAGCAAACGCATGAACACTTCCCATATCTTTCCGTGCTTACTCTTCCTTACCCTTCCTTGCCCTTCCTTACCCTTCCTTACCTCTTGCCTGATTGGATCGAAAGCTCGGCATCGCGCTCAAGAGAAATGACTTTGTGGGCCCGATCCTGCGATTCGGACACTTTGCAGGCTTTGGAGGACTTTCGAATTATTTGAGGAACCTTCCTCTGGCAGTCTTGTGTGGTCTTGATGGGACCCTTGCCAGGCCTAGGGCTCGTTCAGGAACCTGACCGAAAAGGTGCCATTCGCTTCTGCTTCAGACAAGGCGCGTTTGGAGGACCACCTGTACATGCAGGCAGCTAGTAAGCTCCACTGGCCCTACCTTTCAATAGAATCTGTCTGACAGGAACCCCTCCCACATGTCAGCCAAAGTCAGCTTCTCGCCTCTCTCTCTCTCTCTCTCTCTCTCCTCTTTCGTTTTCTCTTGGGCACGGACACCGTTGGCCAGGGACTTGCGCAGCACGCCCATCCCCACCTGTGGGCACACAGGCCACAGGCGGGCCACAAGCGGTCTGTGACCGACCCAACCTACTTGTAGTAACTCGTCGAAATCTGAGCACCACATGTTGGGCCCCGCACGCCACTGAAGAAGCGCGGCGGGCCGCCCATCTCCCACAACTCCTCACAGGCCTCGGGGAATTGTTGGGAGAGGATGTAAGGCATGTAGGGATCCATACGATACGGAGATTGTGGGATCCAGCGGTTTTGAGCTTGGAGCTCGGTGCATCAACAGATTTGGGCCTTGGGGTCCATTCGGATGACACGAGGAGCCCCCCCAACAACAGCGGCCTCACTGCTTTTTTCTACAACTTGATGCGAGACGCAGCTGCTCTGTTCGGACAGTCCTAGCACGTCTTCTCAACCTGACAATCTGAAGGGTCTTCAGTGTGTCCACTGAGCAACTGGCCGTTGCGATGCCCACGTTGTTGGCAATCCTCGGACAAGACTCAGCTCCAAGCCCGGACACCCACAGGAGCCAGCCCCGATGTCGGAAGGCTGAGGCAGCCGGCTGATAATTCTTGATGACGACTGGAGGGTTGGCCAAGAACTCGCCAGTGCCCGCAGCCAACATGCTCACACCGAACCTTCGGAATGTGGAGGGGTCTGCGGACTGTTCTTAAACGTTTCAAGAATTCAAGCGTCTGAAGCTTACAGTGGGCTTCAATGTGTTTACAGTGTGCTACGAAGATTCGACGAAGATGTTCACGCAGCCGACTTAAGCCTTAAGCTGACTGACTCCACAGCATCACAGGCCGATCATCCGTCTGGCTGGAAGCTTGGAGCGCTTATTCGCACTTCATGGCGTTTTGCCGTTTTGCCCCCCGATTTTTTTGCACTCGTTCACACGAGTTGGACCCCAGCTCCCCCTCAAAGCTCCTCAAGTCCTCATCACGAGAGGCAATGTGTGCAATGAAGACCCATGGCGCAGGCGTGGCAAAAGGACTGAGCAGCTGGGGCGCGGGCGACACCACCTTGCTGCCTGAAGCGTCGCAGGTCGATTTCAAACTTGTCCGTCTCTTCTGTGTATTTTTAAAATCAACAGGAAGGGGTCCCACCGACTGTTACTGCCCTCTCTCCACAAGTTGACTAAAAAAGGTGGGGGAGGACTTCATTGAACTTGCTTGCAGACGCTTATTGGCACATAGAGGCGATCAGAAGGCACTCAAGGCCCGACCTTGCTTCCGCCCCGCCAAGCCCTGACTATTTGCCCTACACGCACCCGGGTGAAAAAACCTAAACCCACCAAAACCTAAACCCTGAATCTTAAACCCACCACGAACAACCGTATACCCTGAACCCTAAAGCCACTGTGAGCCACGGGGGCAGGGTGAAATTCCTAAACCCGACAGCTTCAAACCCCAAAACCCAAAACAACCAAAACCCAACACCCACCAGGGTGGACAGGGGGGGGGGGGGGGGGGGGATGCATATACCACGTGCGGGGGGTGACGCCTCTAGATGCTTAGAGGCGCTTAAGGACGCTTGTGTTGGAAAGCTTGAATCGGCGCATTTAGAGGTGCGCAGAAACGCTCAGAAGGTGCTGGCAGATGCATGCTTGAAGACGTATTGCGCGAGAAAGAATCATAAGTCTTATTGCGCTTCCGAACGGAAGGGCCTTGTCTGAGATTATCTCAGACATCGACGGCACTTCCACGACGCTTACACAGGCTTAGACTTAAAGGCTTGAGCTCACGTTTACGCAGAGCATTTCCCTTCGTGGTGAGGTTCCTTATCAGCTCGCCCTCTGAGCCGTTAAAGCCTGCGGGTCCTTGGCTGCTGGCCTCCTGAAGCCTTCTTGACTCGAAGCCACAGGAATCTCTAAAAAACCCCTTGCGAGAGTTGTTGAGCTGGGCGGCAGCATCCACCTCTGCTCTGAGCGGCTTTCTGCCACTTATCCAGTCGCTTCCTTGGGCGTCGTCTTTAGTGTATGTTGTTTTGGCCGGGGGGGGGGGGGGGGGTGTGCTGACAACGTACCTGCAGCTCCAAAACAAGATGACCAAGGGTTCTGAATCAGGCTTGTTGCTCCAGCAGAGCTTCATCTTGGAAATCACACACCACCGAAGCTGCAAGTGCTCTTGAGCTTGCAGCTGACAAAAAGAGTCCCTGTCCGTAGCCAGGAGTACATCGATTGGGAATGTCAAGTCTCAATCCTCAGCAATGCCAAGCATCTGCAGCGTCATGTTGAGGAGGAGGGTGACCCCAAATCGGAAACCTTGCCTGGCCAGCGCACCATGCACCCACCACGAGGCTGCGCTGATCGCGGGTGAGTCTTTACCAGTACCGTTGCAGCTGTTTCGGAAAAAGTTACAAAAGGGGGATGGAAAAAAAGTAGTAAAAGGCACATCAACATTAGCACTCTAAACCGAACACGTTGTAAATGGCTCTCCGATCCTCAATCGTGCAGCGTTCACTGCTCCATGGAGTGCCAGCATGCTTCGACTGTGTGTAACATCGCACTTAAAGCCCTTAAGCCTAGCCCCTAGCCGAGCCACGCAAAGGAGCCCATGAAGATTCCGACCTGAGCACTGGGGGCTTGATCTCAGGACCCTCATCTGAGGCAACAGCAAGCCGTACTCCGAACATTTCTGCCGGCGATGAGCAGGCATTGAAAAAATCAGCTTCTAGAGGGTGGGCCCGCAACACTGAAACCCGACGACACCTCTCTACTCCGACTCTACTTGGCCAAGATGCACATAAACACAAAGACCACGCGTAACATGTGGACCCGCTATATCCAAACACAAAGAATCAAGGACATATGGCTCAGTTAACTGTCAGGCAATTCCCCCCGCCCCTCCCCCCTCCCCCAAATAAGTACCGGACGAAGTAATCACCAAATTTGTCGGGCATAGGCTTGCCCACATGGCGGAGCCTCAGCTGCTGGCATTCTTTTCTTCGACAGGACGAGCTGTTGTTTTTGCTGTTCCTTCCTTTTTCTGAAGATATACACCGCCCGGCAAGACGGCGGGACTGTTTCGTGATATGATGTGATATGCTTCTACAGCTATACACCACGAGGCGGACTCGTCCCTGGCGTCTCGAACGGGCGTCATGGATGTGCTCTTCTTGTGGCCAAAGCTAAGAAAGCACGCCCCACCCCGTCGGGAAAGGTGCTTCTATTCCACGATGCCAAAGCACACATATACCAGCCGATTTACGCAAACAACAATAATAAACCCGGCCCTAAAGCAAAACGTGTGGTTGGCCTATGGAGACAGGTTTGACGGCGTGGCCCACAAATACCATGTGAACGAAGTGAACAGAAGAAAGAACAAAACAAAAAGCAATTGAAGACAAGTATACGCCTGATCTTACTTGTAAATTGGGCTTCTCGAAGCATCCAAGACCTACTACTCATGCTATGTGCAAGCGCAAAGTGACTGTGACAAATATGGGAGTTTGTTCAGGTGCCCTGAGAACGAATATTAACGGGGAAGCGAGGATGCCCGAACATATCATTTTCGGAGTATGTTTCATGTAGTTCGTAGGATCGTTCACTTCGCTCACCCGAACAAATAATAAACGTAGTTCTCGCAACTCCATGTACCTCTTCTTCATATTCATGCATCTTGGCTGTTCAGCTTCTGCGGACACTAGAGACAGGGGCAGCGTGTCAAGGTGAAGTGAGGATAGAGTCGGATAGCGCCTAGAGTGACCGGATGTTTTCAATGTCAAGAAGCTGCCACACTGGCGAACTAACTTTGACACCGTAACTAAGTCCATGCCACCGCAATGAAATTCTTCACCTGCCTCCGTGTTTTGAAAGCGTTGCCAAACACTCAAGATATTTGATCTGAAGTGTGTTTAGTGAGCTCGCGAGCACATTACTTTTCAAATATTGAATTGGGTCCTTTGTTTTCCCTGGCATGTTTGCCTTTCATGCCGCATCAAACACGTTCACGGGCTTGTGCAGACCGCATGAGAGCGGGAAAAGACAAGCCAGGGAAAATTCCCGTGACTTCCTGTTGAAAAGGGACTAACAAGACCTAGATTGTTTTGGTCATGGTATCCTGGGTTCCTTGTCAAGAGAGTTCCTTTCAAGAGCTGTAGAGCCAGCCAGGATTCCAGAGGGAAAGACGTTCCATTCCGGAGTAAGCACACCTAAGGCCTTGGGCCAAGACGTGAGGGTGAGGACAACCGAGGATTTGGGGAAAGTATGGGAAAGCTGCAAAGGTGCCCCAGGTTCTGAAGCAAAGCTGAACCTAGGAACCCTTCAACGTCCCAAAAAGCCCCGGAATCCTGGACGACTGCGGCGTTCCCAAGTGCTCTAGAGCGGCGTCTTCGCCACATCAAGCCTCAGCTATGGAGTTTGGCAGTGGTCACGGCTCTGGTGTGTGCTCGTCTCTGCTTAGGACGAACGGTGCAATGCAAGCTCCATCGCAAGCCTTCGGCGAGCAAAGAAACGAAAAAACGGTCTGACCCCTCTTCAATGAGACGCGCAAAGAAAGCCCTATAAAACAAAAACCCAAGTTCGCCCCTTATAACCACTCTAAGAGTCGGCTCCCCCCCCAAACACTCTAAAAAAACAGCCGAGGCGGCTGGTGCGTCACCGCGGCAGACAGGACGCCCGCAAGGCCCCCAGCCCAGAAGGTGAAGCTCCGCTGGATCTTGGAATCTTTCTTTGCTTCTCTCGTGGGTTCTCTCTTGATTTTTAGCTCCCCTTAAGTATTTATATAAATTTACATATTTACCAACACTTTCTAGGACTGACTTGAGGGATGCAGTTCTGGGAGTTAGGGGGGATTCTGGGTGGTGGAGATGCTACTTCGGATCGCAACACTCGAATCGGGAGCCAACATCGGTCAAGGAGCCAGTGCTACCGGACGCCCCACCGGATGCCAAGTCAATTTATACCACATGACACCGAACACACATAACAATTGAATCATAGCTTACAACACACGCCACGTGAGAAAGCAACCTTGCTTCGCTTGATAAAAACACGATGTTGACGGAATGGTGGTAGAAAACTAAACTAAACCTCACCAAGGTACGTAGTGTAGGAGAGCACTGAAAAAACAGGAGTTGCGTTTCTCGACTTGCAACATAAAAGAGAGAATTACAGAGGTACTGGCATTCTCCGGCAGTGGCGGCTTGAACTCTTCGCCATCGTCGAGACCTGCACGGAACGAGCCTCCCACAGAATCCCCAAAGAGCGACACATCACGAAACCACATGCTTCACGGAACTTCACGGATCGCGGCCTTCCACGGATGGCTTTCGTCGGCGGCGTTTCCGAATCTGAACACGAGAATGCCACAAGGAGGCTTTAGCTTCGTAAGGACCAGACAGTTGGGCACAGTGGACCCGGGACTGTACATGACTGTACTATCGCCGCTGTAGCCCCTTGGGGTGCTGGAAAGTGGAAAGCTTTGGTCAGAGTTCGTTGCACCTGGTTGCGCAGCAACAGGCACAGCAAAGCCGCGAACAAAACACCCACCACGGCGACCAGCATGGCAATGCAAAGCTACATGTGACAATGCGATTGTGCTTCTGTGAGGCTAAAAGCTGCTTCGCTGTGTGGTAAACTTGGGCATAATCCCCATAGGGTCCTTATGCGGATGTTAAGGTCACTACGAGGGTCTGCGAATTCATGGCAAGTGCCATGCAGCTATGCACCTGCGTATTCTGAGTACTCTGCGTGTCCGCGTGTTCTGCGTGTTTTTCGTGTCTCTCTAAGAAGTGGCCCATCTGAGCACAATTGTCAGGGCATGGACCGCAAAACTCAGCAGCTGCCAGGCACGCAACGGCATGCAGCGGCGCGCAGCTTTAGTGCTGGAAAAAACAGACCAAAAGCAAGCTTAAGGCAAGGTGAACCCACAAAAGATGGGGGCTTTTCGGTTGTGCGCGCGCAGAACCGCGTCAGAATCGGTGTGTTCAGCTTGGAGGTGGCCCGAATCGGAATCCTGCGCCATGAAGGACACAGGAAGTCGGAGGCAAGTACTTCGGTGGGTTGAGGCAACTCCTTGCACACAAAGCGATCAAAACCGTTTCCCTGTACCCTCGTGTCATGGCAGGGCGGTGTGAGATTTGTGCCAATGAACTACAACCTCAAAACTCAAAAGCAATGTCGGGGGCAAGATTCGTCAGTGGATGGAAGCCTCCAAACCCGTATCTCAAGACAATATTGAGAAGGGGTGTGGGGTGTAGTCATGTCGATGCTTCAAGCCGTGCAACATATCCCCCCAATTCAATCCCCTCACTGCACAGCTGTTTGTAGCCAACAACGGTCAAAGGCCCCTCTGCCTGCACCAGGCAATCCGCCAAATCCGCCAGCCCTCAGTTTTGAAGCAAGTTGAGACTAAACTATTTCACCCTGGCCAAAACGAAAGAAAGCAGATGAAAGCAGCCAGACAGACGAGAGACAGAGAGACAGAGAGACAGAGAGACAGAGAGAGAGAGACGAGAGACCGAGAGACCGAGAGACCGAGAGACCGAGAGACCGAGAGACCGAGAGACCGAGAGACCGAGAGACCGAGAGACCGAGAGACCGAGAGACCGAGAGACAGAGAGACCGAGAGACCGAGAGACCGAGAGACCGAGAGACCGAGAGACCGAGAGACCGAGAGACCGAGAGACCGAGAGACCGAGAGACCGAGAGACCGAGAGACCGAGAGACCGAGAGACCGAGAGACCGAGAGACCGAGAGACCGAGAGACCGAGAGACCGAGCACTTCCTATTGTGACCGCTCGCAACTCACTGATCACAAGCGACTGCCACAAGTGAACTTTTTATGCAGCGCTCAGGCATGGGGACGAGCGTCAGCGTTCGATCGAAGAACAACAAAATCGCACCCCTCCCGCATGCCCCAACGACATGATCTCGAGCGAGTGGATCCGTATCGACCTCAATCCTACTTCGCGTAGGACACATCACACATCAACTCGAAAGAGAGACGTGCGACACGAAAAAGGACGAACCAAGATCCCCTCACACAAGAAAGGAGAGGGTGGGTGGGAAAAGAAAATTTCTCAATCCCTGTGGGAGGCTGACGATCGCTTCAGCCAAAATGGCCACGATCGCAGCCTTCATGTGATCTCACAACTTGAAGTGGCCCTCGAACCCCTACCTACCAAGCCGTCATTCGAGAACCACTTCCTATTGTGACCGCTCGCAACTCACTGATCACAAGCGACTGCCACAAGTGAACTTTTTATGCAGCGCTCAGGCATGGGGACGAGCGTCAGCGTTCGATCGAAGAACAACAAAATCGCACCCCTCCCGCATGCCCCAACGACATGATCTCGAGCGAGTGGATCCGTATCGACCTCAATCCTACTTCGCGTAGGACACATCACACATCAACTCGAAAGAGAGACGTGCGACACGAAAAAGGACGAACCAAGATCCCGTGCTTGAAACGCACGGTTGTTTTTGACAGACTGCGATCAAATCTCAGTGTCTTTCAGATCCGTAGGCCAACAACACCGAACGGAAAGCCAGCCTGCAGCTTCCCCGATCGACATCCGGTCTCTCGAGGGCCAGTCGGCCGGATTAGAGTCCGATGAAATCCGATCAATGAACATGTTGGCCTTTAGCTTCAGAGCCAGATTCCAAAAGACCTCAATCAAGTGAGAAAGATCCTCCTTCGCGGAGTAGCCCTTCACGAGCGCAGCTTCAACCGGCTCCGAGTCAATCAGAAGAAGGATGTCACGATTCCGAACGCTTTCAGCGAACGTCTCCATCGCGAGCACTGGGGCGATCATCTCGATTGGAACGATCTGTGTCGTTCTCGGAATCCACTTCGTGGATAATTAAACGTTCCGGGATGACCTCCGAAAATTGAAGCGGCTTGCTCAGGCATCGATCAAACAGAACAGCTCCCACACGATCAGGACCCACCTCTCGCTTTCGGGGATCCGGAGTAAAGCCGTCTGTGAAGATCACCACATCGCACTTCTTCGGGGCTGTCAAGGGGATCGCTCTCGGGGGCCCTTCTCTGATCAAGAACTTCCACTGCTGAAGCGAACGCTTCAACGCGTCGTTCAAGGCCAGACGATCATCGGCCCTATCCTTGAGGTACTGCCTCTCCGAGAGAGGTCGGAAGAAAGCTCCACCGACTTTGCCCCACAACTGACTCGCCCCGAACATGAGCTTGCCTTTGAGCTTGCCAGCCATTCCCGGATCCAGGATATTGCTGGAGAGGATGTCATCGATGGCGCTGATCAACTCCTCCTTTCGATCCTGCTTAATCTCGAGGATCATGTCCCGGAGGTTGTAGGTCACCCCCAGGATCGTCGGGTCGGACGATCGCTGCAGCTTCTTCTGGTCGAAGCGAGCGCCCAACCACCAATGAACAGCTATCGCCACCTGGTGTGCCTCCGCGGACAGATCCTCGCGATCAAAGCCGTATTTGTCGTCGTAGAAGTTGAACGCGACAATCTTGAAGACCTTCGTCAGGATCTCGTTGACGGCAGCCGATCGTCGGTTGTAGTTGTAGACAGCGGAAACAAGCCCAAAGACGCTGAACTTCCGGTGCTCTGGGGCAATCGGAACTTGCCGATAGGCTTTCTTTTCGTCGAGCACCCATCCCGACAACGGCCGATCGCCTACGGCCAGCTTGAGCTCCTTCAGCGCGGAGACGTTGACGTCCGTCGATGGGAGCTGCAACTTCTCGACGATCTCCGTGATCCTGTTGATCATGTTGGACGTCGCACTATCACACCCTCGAACTTTGTCTTTCTGCACCACTTCGAACCTTTGCGTCGGGATCCAGTTCTCCACTCCAAGGAACTGAGAGACCTCCTGCTCAGTCGCGAACGGGCCGACGCAGGAACCGTCCTTCACATCCTCGAGCGTTCCGTCCCCCTTGAGGTCGCCGATTCGATCGACTTCACCTCTTGCCGCTTGGAGTAGGGTGGCCAGCGCCCAGAGCGCGCGATCTCGCCCACGATCGGAAACCCGTAGAGCAGGAATCGCGGCAAATCCTTGTGTTTTCCATGGGGGTTGTCAAACAGGTTTTAGGCAGTGCGAGCGCCAGGGCATGCGCGCAACTTCATGCCTGTACATGAGTGGAAACATGTCTGCAATCCTTGCATGAGTTAGCCCTTTGGAGGGCAATGTGTGTGTGTGGAAACAGGTATGTTCATCCTGGAAAGGCTTCACAGCCAACCACTTGCAGGGGGACAGAGGGAGGGCGGAGGGGCTCTGTCCAACGAAGCTCCCCTCCACACTCCAGGTAAACGTACCTGCTTGTCTGCGCCTGGGCCCCGTTGTGGGCAGCTGGCGGGACATTCATTACATTCATCCTCATCTCATGTCGTGCTACGTCATTCCTTCGTGTCTGGCGTAGCAGGGGCCTAAACCTTACCCCTGAAGGATCATCTCATCTCGTTTTCGTGTGCCATTCCTGTGGTCTGGCACACATGGTACAAAACTTTCACCTCATCTTCATATCCAGGTAAGGTAGAGGTCATTCCATACAGTCACAAGACCAGTGTGTGTGTGTGTGTGTGTTGTGTGTGTGTGTGTGTGTGTGTGTGTCTTGTGTGTGTGTGTGTGTTGTGTGTGTGTGTGTGTTGTGTGTGTGTCTTGTGTGTGTGTGTGTGTGTCTTGTGTGTGTGTGTGTGTTGTGTGTGTGTGTGTGTTGGGGGGGTGTGTGTGTGTGTGTGTGTGTGTGTTGTGTGTGTGTGGGGGTGGTGTGTGTGTGTGTGGTGTTGTGTGTTGTGTGTGGTGGGGTGGGTGTGTGTGGTGCGTGGGGCGGGTGTGCGGGCGCGCGCGTGGCGCGGGCGCGCTGAGGCGCGCGCTCGTAAGTGCGCCACGCACGCGCGGGCGCAGTGTCCGCGCGGGCGCGCGTGCGGTGCCGCGCGTGCGCGGGTAGCTAGGCCGCGCGGCGCGGCGGCGCTGCGGGCGCAAATGTCGCGCGCAAAGCTGCGCTACTGCGCGCGTGGCGCGCGGTGCGCGCGTGTGCCGGTGGTGCGCGTGTGCGCGCGCGGGGTTGCGCGGCGCGTTGCGGCGGGGCGCGGGCGCTGGGAGCCGCGTGCGCGGGCGCGGGGCGCGGGCGCGGGGCGCGGAGCGTAGGCGCGGTGCGAGCGCGTGCCGCGGCGGCGGGCGCGGGGCGCGTGGGCGCGGGGCGCGTGCGCGGCGCGGTTGCAGCCGGGGCGCGGGGTCGCTGGCGCGCTGCAGCAAGGGGCGCGCTCCGCGGGGGCCGCGCGCGCGGTGCGCAGCGGCGCGGCGCGCGCGTCGGGCGCGCGCGCGGGCGCTCGCGCAGCGGGCGCGCGCGCACTGGGGGCGCGCGCGGGCTGGCCGTGCGTGCGTGCGTGCGTGCGTGCGTGCGTGCGTGCGTGCGTGCGTGCGTGCGTGCGTGCGTGCGTGGGTGGGTGGGTGGGTGGGTGGGTGTGTGGGTGTGTGTGTGTGTGTGTGTGTGTGTCAAATACCAATGAGGGCTTCCCAACACCGTTCCCTACACTTTGCAGGCCGCGCCTTATAGCCCTGTCTGATGAGCTTCGTTACCT